TAGGCAGAAGCTGTGTTAAATGTTAATTTCTTTTGCTGGGCATGCTTATAGCCAACATTCTTTATTTTTCTGTGGAACCTCAGCAATCGTATACAGTGGTACCTCGGTTCACAAACTTAATTCGTTCTGTGACTCTGGTTGCGACCTGAATTGGTTGCGACCTGAATTGGTTGTGACCCGAATCAAATTTTCCCATAAGGTTAAATGTAAATACAGTTAATCTGTTCTGACCCCTCCGAATTTGGTCGCGACCCGATTTTGGTCGCATCCCGAATCAAATTTTCCCATAAGGTTCAGTGTAATTACGGTTAATCTGTTCTGAACCATATGTATTTTTTTAAAAAACTGCAAAAATATGAAACAAAATACAGTACGAAGAGAGAGAACGCTAACCTTGCTTGACGTGACTTCTGGCGTGGAGGACAGGAAGGCAGGTGAGGCAGTTATTGCTTGGAGGGAGAGTCCCCCCCCACAGGAAGCCACAACCACGTGTCACAGGACGGAAAATGGCCGCGGATCCTGTTCGTCACCCGATCTAGCGTTCACGAACGGAAGCAAAATTTTGCGAACAGAGCTGTTCGTGACCCGAATTGGTCGTGAACAGAAGCGTTCGTGACCCGAGGTACCACTGTATTTTATGATAGCCTTGGATCATTCATCAGGCATTCTCCAGAAGATCTAATATTTTCCTATGGTGATGGTGGTGGTGATGATGATGATGGAGAAATCTATATGTCCCAGTTGGTAAACAGCATAATATGGCCTCCTTTGCTTTGAAAAAGCCCTGAAGTAGCCAATTGTAGACCAAAATCTTCCAAATGATCTAAATTCAATCCCAAAATTGTACAGCTCTGGATTATTTGGAGACTTCAGTTGCTTCCTACTTCACCAACATCCTTTGCCCAGGAGTAAGTGTTTTCATATTAACTAGGTTCCTTGTCCTAGCTTCACAATTAATAGAAGAGTGATTTAATGGCATCCTTCTCCAAGAATGTCTCTCTCTCTTGGGGAAGTTAAATCAATTGCTATATCCTTCACCACTGCCCTTTCTATTCAATCAGGTGCGAGTCTTAGTTTTGACCTTAATAACTGCCATGAGTATTTAGAAGACCTTACAGTATTCTTTTAGCAGACAAGTCACAGATGAACTCTAGAAAAGTGGCTGAATTTTGTTCAATTGCTGTTGTAGTTCAACAGTACTGTAGAGTTTTAATCTTATGGCTTAGCTTTTAGGACATTGTGGTTCTTGACCATAAATAAATAAATATTCTAGCCTTAAATTCTGTATAATAATTGACTGTTGATGAAAAGTAATGAACACCACTTTATGTAGAATAGCGTTTTAATTAAGCATTCTGAGTGTTTAAATGTTGATTGCTTTCAGTAAAAGCAAAATTAAGAGCTTTACAACAGTTTTAATTTGTGGCCATTGGAACGTATAGTTGATGCCATATTGTGTTATTGGAGACTGTTTTCCCCAATAGGTTAACATGCTGCATTTAATGTTTCTTCAGGTTTTGATAAACGTACTGGAATGGTTGTCAACCATCAGACAGAAAATATAACACACATTTCTGGTAAACCAATCCTGGATAACAATGCAGTGAATCTCTTCTCCTCTGTAGTCATTGCTTTGTTATTGCCTGGAATAGCATGGGGATTTTGGCCAAGAGGATGAAGAAAAGGTATCGATTTGCATTTTTTTTCTTCTTCAAACAAGCTGTGACCTAAAAGGCTCTCCACCAAGAGTCTTTATAACTCTGGACTGGAATATGTTTTCCTGCAACTGTTCTGAAAGCATGAGGAGTTGTTAGGTTAAAGCTATGCGTCCTGCAGCTGTTTTAAGTATTATAGATGAGACAGACAGGAAGAAGGAGTCCTGATTTAACATTGCTTCTTATGTAATTGGATATAGTTACCACTTAGTTACTACTTGATAGAATACTTGATTGCAGTTCATTCCCCTTAATCTACCTATTAGGAAAGTAAGAAATGGCAAAAGTGAACCTGTGATAGAATGCCACTACAGCTACCTGAACAAGCAATGGATCTTAGTCTAGTGACCAAGCAAAATGCTGAACTTTCTATATTATTCTGAAATCTTCTATTTCTTGTGGGGACCTATTCTGCTGTTGCTGGGGAACTGATCTTAGGTACAAGATTCAGTACAATCACAATTTTGCTTTTTGCTGTTAAACTATTTTTTAAACATATGTTTGGTATGAAATCTAATACTAAAGTGTTGGTGCCTAAAGTTTAAAAATTAATTTATTGGGTTTAAAATATTATGTTTAAAATACAAGAGCATATGTTTTGGCCAATGTCTGTAGTTATTAGCTATGGATTTATCCTGGCATATGAAACAAATACTCTACATTTATTCAAATTCATTTGGCCTGTGAGATGGATGTTGCTTTTTAAATCAAAGTTTGTAATAACTTACCTATCCCTTAGTTTTCAAGAAAAACAATTTTTGCCTGTCCTTGTAATCTAAATAATCTAGAAACTGCTATATGAACAGATGGAGGGTTCATCTCTTCATAGAGATTGGGCCAAAAGTGTAATGCAATATAATTGAAAGCAACTCTTATTGACAAATGACATTTATTTTGTCCTTATATAATTTTTTAAAGTATATTGGCAAGTTCTATTACAAACACAATGAAAAATGTGTCAGGTTTGTTTGCAACTAAATCTGTTTTCTATAGTCTTATATTTGTCATTTTATATAAATCAGATACTAGCATTTTTAATTTTACATTAATCTTAAAGAAAAAAAGGTGGAAAGTTGATGGATGCTTCAAAGGATATATGCCTACAGACAACTTTTAAAATAGTTTGCTTGTAGAAATGGACTGTTTTCAAGTGACAATTACAACTGTAGATAAGAATTCCCATTAACAATGAATGTGCATAAAGCAAATATGAAGAACTATTTAAAGAAATTGATCAACTAAACATAACACACACATATTTCATACAAGAACACTTGGTTTTTCTGAAAAAATGTACAGTTTTCTGTAGTGTAGACACTGGTATACATGGCATAATAAAGTGAATACAGCACTAATTGGTGTTGATACTAATGTTGCACTCTAAGCACCTGAAAATTTGTGTATTTTTTGGTAGTGGCAAAGTAGGTTATAGAATCTTAATGCAATTCAAGAAATTGATTGGATTGAGAAAGAGCTGGTTAAAATAATATACCTATCAGTGAAACAGTGAGAACAAATTATAAATAAGAATGGAAGATACAATATTTAATGGAAGTGTATGAGGTGGGGAGAAGAATGTAGATTGGAATATTTTCTGTTCCTCAATGTATTTGTATGTGGTAATAGAGCAGTAGGTATCTTTTTTGAAAATACATACACAAAATGTGTCCCAAATGAGGCCTTTATAAATATGTTCGAATAAAAATGACTTCACAATGGCATCTATGTTTTATTTAGTCATTACAGAAACAACATTGATACATTACACTGAGAAAAATCATACAATTTTGATATCATTTCTGTTTATAAAATTAACTTTATGCCTTAGCTAGCACCAATTCTAAAATGTGGCAACTCTTTTTGCTACCCAAGAATCATTACAGAAAGGCAAATTATCAGTTGAAAGATGGACTATTTAACACAATTTAAAAGCCAACAATTTTCTATCTCACTTTGCATCAATTAACAGTCAAATAATGAATATCCTCAATTGGATCAACATTGAGATATATTTTTCCTCGTAATTACAAATTGCAGGGGCTTCTTCTTGATAGACTAATTGCACTTTAAACTGCTCTGTAATGTGCAGTTTGAGTCATTTCCATATGGAAAAATCCAAAACTTGAATGTTCCTTAGTGGATGAAAATACTTCCTTATTTTTAGCATCTACTCATTAACTGAAAAGGCCTCCAGACACCTAAGTAGAATTTATAATACAGGGTAGTTTTAGTAGCCTGCAGGTTAACAGTTTAAATGACAGAACGCAAAAAGGACACAAAAGGGAGGTGAGAGAATGGGAGCATCAATTGTCAAATCCAAAAAGAAGCCACATCATGGATTAATCCAATCTATGAAACAGCTCTTATATGTTAGCTCTCTAGGTATAAATTATAAAGAATGGTGAAGGATTTTCAGTATGCTTTTTGAGTTAGATAACTATATAGGCTGGCGTAGGACTTTTTGTCTTATATGGAGTCTAGTTTTGTAAGTCTACTTCAACATAATCCTAAATAATGCTCTGGTAGAGATGGTGAAAAAAAAAGAGACTATCTGTTAAGTATGAAGTAGCAAAGGCTGATCTGTGTGTTTCCAAAATGTATTTTATATACTTCAGAATATGGAATTGGGGCATGGATAACTGTCCCAAGTTAAAACTTACATAAGAAATATGAGGTCATCATACTGAAAAATAGTTTCTGAAATTATAAGAGGGATAAGCAACCACTGCCTGCAGAATATATACTTTCTGCTCACATTTCCTGGCCAAACAGAATTTTCTGGTTTCTATCAGTATTATAAATATCTGGTAGCCAAATCAAAAGTGATTGCTAAGAACAGTGTATCTAATTTTCAATAAAGTTTCTGGCTAAGCATACTAAACCATTGTTTCTTAACTATTTTGAATATAAGAATCACAGTTTGTCATAAACCAGGAGTGAGCAACCTGTAGATTGAATGTGGGATTGTACTATGCAAATTTGTACTGTCTTTTTTTTTTTTTGCTATTTGAGGAAATAATTGTGCATGTGGTAGCTGTTTCCCTCTTAGCCACTTCCAACTCTCATTTCCATCCTTAAAACATACAGAAAATCCAAGACTGATATAAGAGCATCTTTTAGTTTTCAGAGAGTATGGGTAGGAATTGTAGCCATTGGCCTCCCTTTTTACATGTGAAGTCTCATGTAGAAATCTCCCTTTCTACATGTGAAGAACAGGGAACAAATTTCAGCCATGCTTTTCCACTGTCATTATTTTTACTAGAAGTTGATCTGCAACCCTCCTTTGACCCATGAGAAGTTAATTACATCTGCCATATATCATGGTTTACATCTGCCATTTATCATGGACCATAATGGCTGGTTCATATAACATGCTGAGCCCCAAAAGGGATACTTTTGGAACAGTGCATTTCTTACAATTATCAAATAATTATTGTTTTAATTATTCCTCATTAAAAGTAAAAAAATTGTTTCATGGATTTCTAAGTTTAACAAACATTATTTTAAGCAACAAGTGACAAGGAACTGCTGCCCTTTGAAAAGTAGAACGTGAGACCATGCAGGAGAGCCTCAATCCTGGGTAGATTGCCTTGAGCTGCGCTCAGGAGCAGGTTTGGGCTGCTGGCAGAGCTGTTGCTGTGAGTATAGAGGCTGTCAAAGGACAGCCCTGCCCCAAGGAGTAAGTTGATACATATATAGCTGGATTGCTGCCAGACTCTGCTCTTGCTCTGCCAAGACAAGCTGGCAGGAGTCCTGTTAGAGCACGGTCTGATAGTTTTCTTTATTGCAGGCCGCACTATTATTTTAGGGGATCATGGCACAATGAAGTTTGAGAACTCCTGTTGAAAATGTGTATCTCACATTTCCCATAATGGATGCCAAAATGTTGTGATGAATCCAATATTTAGGATCTAAACTTCTTGAGTGTTTTCTGTGGAAGGATTAATTGCCCTGAAACAGAAAAATATTACATGCGACTGTCAAGGTCAAAGTTTTTTTTCTCTGCAGTGGTCTGTCAGCTGGCCCAGCTTAGGCACATAGACAGTTGAAGAGAAAAGAAAAAAAGGTTTACACTCCTTAGAATCATCTGCAAACTGGCATGTAGCTTTCAAAAGAGAGAACCATAAAAGAAGCCACAGCAGGTAGACAGGATGAAGTGGTGGTGTTCTGGGTTTGGCAGGAGATGCTGCTGGAGTAAGAGGCAATCAGATGTAGAGCAAAGGAGGCAACAGCTGAGAGAGTGAGGAGCGAGACGATCCACAGCCAGGGAGAAGAACCCGAAAGAGCCTGAGGCAGTCGAAGCCAAGGAAGAGGCAGCAGAAAGGAAAACACAGTCCTGGACTTAGACTCTGGAAAGCAAGTGGTTCAGGCACTGGATAACTGGGCAAGAGTGTGTTAAGGAGAGAAGTAGTTAACATTCCTAAGTCTGTGCTGAAGATAAGTGAGAGGAGGTAGAAACTAGCAGCTAAGTGTTCGTCTTATAAAGTAGAGGAGTAGAAATTTAAGGTGTTTTGCTTTGTTAGTATACTGTATAGTTAGATGTATTGGTGTCCATATTTATACTTGGTCAAAATACACACACACACACACACACAAACACTTATTCACTAAAATCTTGTAAACATATTGTGCTAAGCTTGTATAGCAATGAACCTCACTGTATATACTTGTTAACTATGTGTGCATTTCTGGCTTCATTCCTAGCCATTCCCACTCTCCAACATTTTCCACAGTGATTGCGGGTGAAGAGAATAGAAGCATTTGGCAACAAACACCATAGCAACATAGAGTTGGTGAAAGCATGGTGAGAGTTTGAGGAATATATTATGCATGAAAGCCTAGGGATAGAACAGGAGACAACCCCAGCACCATCCTCCTCCATTTCTTCTGCCACAGAAATGGCTGGTGTGTTAAGAAAAATACTTAAAATGATTTGTTTCAAAAGTAAATGGAAAGGATGGTGAAATTCATTAAGTGACAGCTATTACTAGAATCCAAATCCAGAAACATCTGAGAATGTATGTAGAACATAGATTACAGTTCAGAATTTAAAAGGTTTATTACATGTTTAATTTATACTCTTATCTTACATGGGATCTCATCCCTACAATGACAGTTCTGAAAGAGAAGATGGGTTGAGACAAAATATCTGCTCCAAAGACACCCTATCAATTTCTATGGCTGAGACAGGACTTGAAGCTATATATCCAAATTTCCAACTGAAAATGTAGATGACTTGAGTTTTACAATTAATGCCTGGATATAAAAGGAGTCTGAGCCAACTTTTTAAGACACTTAGAATATATTGGAGGTGGCATTTCAGTCAATAGAAGTTCACTTATTCATTTTGTTAGAGGATTATAACCCTTATAAAAATCTCCCTCACATTTTGCCACTCTTTTAACAAGAGTACAAAATAGGAATAGACATGATTCTCAATGGCTGAAGGGAATAGTTTAACTGTATGTCTATTCCAAGTCCTTTAGAATTTATGGAGGTCTACCTCCAGACAACAAGGATACAAAAAGTGAAGCCAACCATCATCCTCTTTGTGGCGCCTCCCAGATGAATGCAGCAGAAATTTGAGGGCTTGGGGTGAATTTTTCATTTTGGGAAGCCTTGCAAATGCCTAAAGAACGTGTTAGACATCCTATACTTGGAATGTAAATGCAGCCATCCAGGAGGTAGCAGCAAAAATACACAAAAAACTGTTGTCACCTAATGGTTCTTCAGATTTTTGAAGTATATATATGCTATGCTTTCCTATTTTACCCCTTAAAGCTCCTGAAGCGTTCTCCCAAAATGGCCCATTTTGGAGTGTGACCTTCAACAGCCTGGTCTTTGAGGAGACAGAAGCATGCTGTGGCTATACAGGATTGTGGCCTCTACCAGCTGTTTTTAAATTCATTCTTCTGTTTTCACTGTCATTTAAGGCAGAGATGAAAGTATTCTCATCTGTTGTTTATTTTCAGCAATGTGAACTGATTCTTACCATTCTGGGCATGCCAATATCAGGATTGCAAGTAGCTTGGCAAATTGCTGTTTTAATATTCTTCCTTATATACAATTCACTGTATTCTGTACATGAACAATTTTATTGCTGGCAAAAATATTTTGAAAATGGATCTTGCCTGATTCAATTCTGTTAGGAATCAAGGGTTGCAGCTTTATACAATACTTAGCAAACTGTTTTCTATGCCCTGCCTAAAACTCTAATCTTTGGTGTATAATCCCATTGTATACTTTGCAGTTAAGACAGAAAAAACAGAATTCTAAGGAATCCAATGATAAAAAGCATGATAATGTACTAATGTCCCATATTTTTTAATGCTATTTCTTGCTGAATTACAAACTACTTTTTTAAAAATTACTATAATGCAGTAGAGAATATGATGGGCATGACTCAATATGCAGTATCTTTAACCACTAGTGTTGATCATATACAGTTGGAAGAAAAAGTATGTGAACCTTTTGGAATTTCATGGTGTTCTGCATTAATTTGTCATAAAATGTGATCTGACCGTCATCTCAGTCAAGAGTATTGACAAATATATGTGCCTAAAATAATAACACAAAAACAATTCTTATCCTTCATGTCTTTATTGAGAACAACCATAAAAACGAATTTCATGGTGTTCTGCATTAATTTGTCATAAAATGTGATCTGACCGTCATCTCAGTCAAGAGTATTGACAAATATATGTGCCTAAAATAATAAC